TTTTCCTCTGCAGATTTGTTTGCCTAATCATTTATTTATTTATTTATTTGACTACTACTATTTATATTGTCTATATTAATCATATATAGATATATATGTATAATTTCATTATACTACAGAAATATTTATATTACTTAGTATTTATATATGATAATATTTCAATGTGACTATCTTTACATATTTGTCTTCAATTAATTCCTTCTCATTTCCAAGTCGTTACGTTAAAAAGGACTCATCATCCATTCACCTGTTCAGGATTAATTTAATTTAATTATCTGGTACGTACTTTATTATAAGTAAAACAATAGTTTATAAAATTGCTCGATTATTTTATTAACAGATCGATGCATATCTTATTTCAAAAAGACGTTTTATACTGGATTCTAGTCCAAATGGTATGCTGAAGAAGCCAGATCTGTAGGATCTTGGCTTGTCGTCATTGTTGTTGAGTGAGTAACCTGTACATTTTCATAGACAATACAGACCTAGTGGAAACTATGGAAGTAGTTTATAGGGTCTGTAGCTGGGCGATGACAGTTTGGTACAGTATGCAAGTGAGAAATGGCAAATCGTCAGTCTCAGCCAAAGGGATAATGAATCAAATGAGCCTGAGTTGGAGAGTTGGACCATCTGGTACATCTGGGCCTACTATTTTGCATCCCATTTTTTGCTTATAGCTGCAGAAAGGCTCCAGCCAGTTAAATTCCTGTCATTCCTAGAATTATTCCAATATATACTTACTGAGTTGCTTTTTCCTCCTTCCTCACCGCAACCACCTCGCCCGCATCTCGTCTTCAGCGACACATACCAGCGCAAGATTGCTGAGCAAGAGGCTCTTGGACACCGGCTGAAAGGCGAGCAAAAATGGCTACTTGAAAACCAAGCAGCGGGTCTCCGACAAGTTCGACTTTGGACCGACTTGATCCGACTCCTCGATACGCGAATGGCGTGTCGTGAACGCGATCGGCAACGAGAAAAGGCCGGTGGAGAGTACGCCGATGTCGCAGCCATGGAGCAGGATAGGTTGTTGCTGTAGGCTCTCGTGAGTCTGGCCGACTTTCCGGACGAAGAATGATGGTATCTCGAATGAATAGCAATGAAGGATGCTGCCTTACTTGGAGGTCGTGGACGGATCTATACTTCAAAGTACTACCTATCTTGCATACTCTGTTGAAATTACGGCAAGACACAAACGTTGATTCGTGTACTCGTGATCCAAATAAACTTTGTTTCATCTTATCTCTTTTCATAGTCAAGCGCATGCACTTATTTTGTCCGATGAAGTCTTACGGTTGAAGTGGTGCTCTATTAATCTCTTCTATGTTCTCATTGCACCAGACAGCATGACTTCTATAGACACCAATCGGTTTGCTACTGACCTTGGGTCACTTTACGCTTCATCCTCTATCCTCTTTTGATGTGTCACCAACTGAGGTGACTAAGGAAAGTGAAGCTCGACCTTTCGTTTTCTGCCTTATAGACTCATCTGCCCAGGGTTGTAGTACTCTTGGGCTTGTTGAAGAGACTCAATTTGCACTCTTGTTGCAACCGTGAAAAGGAGCGTCCACGATGATCTTGCAGATTAACTGAAGGTCATTTGCGACATTTGCTGGTTTTAAACTTATCCTTTTGGATAACATTAAGAGTAGTAGTCGCGATGACTTTAATGATGGCAAAATGTTCAACATCAAGACTCTCTAACATATTTCACCAGAACACTAACTCCGTCTATCAGCTCAGTTTCATTATATAATAAAAAAATGATTTAGAAGAATCGCTTAGTGAGTGAGGGTGACTCGACTTTTTATTTCGAATTTAAAGTTTATTTGGAAATAATTCGTAAATTATGCTCACTGAAAATTGTCAGAGGGTCGCTCTGGAATGGAATGAAATGTCTTGGATTTAGTGAATAAGTGCTCGACTCACAATCCTGCGATTCCGATGAGCCCATGCTAAGCTCTCGTATGGATCATTCTGATAGACATAATCAGAGCGATAAATCATGCATTACGAAATAGCGCAAAAATATACTAATTCTC